CCAGATTCGTTGGTTTTCATAAAGTTGCATTTGGCTGTACAAAATGTTGACTCGAAATGCTGAACAAGTTTTGAGAATTTTCCTAATTTTAGCGAAAATGCGTAAATTAAAACTGCGATTAAAACAGAAGCGCCGATTTTGGGTTCGGAAATTGTACTTAGAGCGACACAAATATGGATTGTTTGAAAGTTCATTAAGAAACTTGGCTGCAGATGAGGAGCAGTTTAACAATACATTAAGAATGCCCTTTTCGTTATTTAATGTGCTGCACGAATTTCTGGAGGCTTCGCTGACCAAATATTCAATCAGAACACCAATATCGAGTCGCTGCAGACTATTTATAACCCTGATGTAAGAGAAAATCGGTTTTACTTAATAGTATACGTATAATTTTCCATATATGTATCTGGTTTTATTTTTTTGTTGCAGATATTTGGCTCACGGTGGCACTCGGCAATTCCACACAATAGTTCACAGGATCGGCCTGACGACTTTCAGGAAGATTACGTTGGAGACATGTATGACCATATGGGATCTGTTAGCTGACCTGTATGTGGCGACCCCGTCAGAAACGGAATGGGGACGTATTTCCAATGAGTTCAAGTCGCTGTGGAATATGGCCAACTGCGTTGGTTCCATCGACGGACCAGCATCGACCTGTCCAGCAAATTCCGGGTCGATGTACTATAATTACAAAGGCAATTATAGTATCGTGCTTTTGGCCGTATGTGATGCCAATTATACCTTTACCTGCGTTGACATCGGAGCATATGGAAGTCAAAGCGATGGCGGTGTCTACCACTTTTCAAAACTGGCAGATGCTATTGAAAATGATAGGCTCGGCCTTCCACATGATCAGCCTCTGCCAGGAGAAACCGAGCCATTTCCACATTATTTAGTAGGAGATGCAGCTTTTCCCTTACGGCGTTATTTAATGCGACCATATCCGGGTAGAGGTATTCCAGAAGAGCAAGAGTATTTCAATAAAAGACTCTCTCGTGCAAGAAGAGTTATAGAAAACGCATTTGGAATACTCACTGCCAAATGGCTTGCTTGTATTGTCTTGCATAATTTTATTAAGCTTTCGTGTGCAAACTATGTAGCAAGCGATTTTGTTGATCGCTACGAAGAGGATGCCACCATCGCTGGCTCATGGCGAAACGAAGTAGTTCCATTGCCCTCAATAAGTAGGGTGTCATCGAACCGAGGCAGTTCAAATAATTATGATTTAAGGGATGCTCTGAAGACACATCTTTTTAACAATAAAATTTAAATAATTACTACTCACTGAATATGCTTTGTTTTTATTATTTAAGATAGAAAACAAAAATTTGAACTCACAGTATGAGGGCACTTATTGGTAATGTTTTAAATGTCGTCACATCTTTCAGGTTTTTAAATTAATTTTTGTTCAAGGTAAGTATGGCGTTAACATAACATATATTTCATTCAGTCTTTTAAGTTAAATTATTTAAATTTATTTAAATGTCTCGTAACCGCGTAAGCCTCGTAAACTTGCATCGAAAACCACGCGTTTGGAATAATATCCTGAATATTTTCTTAAAAAAATGTACAATTGTGTTTGATTAGAAACAATGAAATTATAGCAAGCATTTTCTGTGAGATTGCATATTAAATTCGATTACATATTTAATTCGCAAAATCAAAATCAGATTTCATACTAAATTAGATTACATATTAAGTTCGCAAAATTGAAATCAAACTGGATGTCATTTAAATTTTTAAATTTCGTAAATTCAATTTTTATAATTTTTATATTGAGCATAGACGTATTGAAGTACGTCCATTTGAAAATCTAGGCGGCTCTCTTCTGGGACCTTCTCAAACACTTCGCCAATCGCACCCAAGAAATTGTTGTGTGTGTGTTTTTTTTTTTTGACTATCCACAAACTGACTTACTTCGTTGACTAGATCGTTAAAGGCGGCGTTCTCATCGTTTTTTTTCTTTTGTCTCTTAGCCGGCGTTGGGGCAGTGGTTTCTTGCTCTTCTATTTCTAACATCTTGCACTAAAGCTTCCGATAAACCAACCAACACACAAGAATCGGATAATACAGCAGCCGGAACGATAAAAAAGCAAGGTATCTGAAAAAAAATAATGTTGTTAGCAACAAATAATTGTTTTATATAAACTCTTTTACCTCCAGTTGAATATTACGCCTTATAAACACG